GTCACGCGAAATATATTCCCATAAAATAGAGATCAATGCCGTATTGGGATTTCTCATTTTCTTATGTTAAGAGGTAGACGTCAGTTCCATCTGTTATCCTCGATCCTTGGTAAATCGCCATTTGTCCAGGTGCAGAATCTTGACTTATTGTGGAATTAGAAGTTTGCAGATCGCGAAGCAGTCAGTATGGGTCCTTTACAGGGAGCCCAATTGAAGCGAAATAGTCGCTTCTTATGCTTCGGTCTTATATTTTAAACTTTGGGAAATGCAAGAACCGGAAAATATCCGACGTAGCACTTTTTTCTCGACCATGCAATAGTCATAGGGTCGGTTATAAAACTATATACAGGCGCAATGGCAAACTGACCTGTGTCAAAAATGCAAAAATATTTTTTGCATCGTTCATTCAAGGTATTACCTTGTTTCTTAACATTTTGAAGTTCTAGCGGTTAGTTCCATCATATTTATACTCTTATAGTTTGCCTTACTCCAGTACTTCTTTTAAAAACTGTAAGCCGTATCCCTCAGTGGGAATCTCAGGTGCATTTTATTCTATGCATTGCAAACTCTGTGAGAGCATATTTGGCAGAGAAACTAAAATTAACACAATTTCTCATTTTTTGCAAGTGATATCACCTCAAGTTCAAGAGTTGACTGTATTTTTACGATTGTTTTTTGTTCCCCTAAGCAGTTATTAGCAATAACGTACCCTGATGTACAACTGACTAATTTAACTTAGCGGGTAAGCGTAATTCGGGTGCAAAGCTAATTTTAGTATTTGACTATCCATGGCCCATTGTGGAATTGTCTCGGCTAAAACACTTTTGAGTAGATGTAGGTCTTCTTGGAATATTCAACAAAATTTTGGAATTTCTTTTCTTTTTGCAAACTTACATAACAAGGGATTGTATTATTCGTTATTGTCTAGCGTATTATCAAGATAGTTCTATCACGTGCTGGCTTTTGAGCAATATTGTTTCTGACTGGTTGTTATAAAATGCTACTTAAGTTTTCTGGTTAATGATTATTGCTCTCCTATGCCTTTATAGGTTTGCATATATTTTATAGAAAACGTCCTCACAAATACTGCTTTCTGTATTCATTTTTAGCAGGTCAGGTCTTTTCAAATTTTTTACTTCAGGCAAGAGTGCATTCTGTTTTTCGAATATTTCTGTTTATGAGCTCTTTAAAACCGTGAAACATTCACTTATAAAGCATCATATCCGTAAATTTATTAATGTTGGCTATTAAGTACGCAAAGTTATCTACATTCATTGCAAACCTTTATGAGAACCATGCGACGTCTACCTGATAGTACAGTGAAAAATGCGATTTTTCTTGGATGGAATGTATAGAACATGTAGTCTGTAATCTTTGAATGCAAGTGTGCCGTAACGAAATACTTCCGTTTGCGCATGCTTTCTATAGAACATAGTTTGATGTAAGTTAGCAGAATTCTCGGATAACAATAAAAGATCTTGTTGCGCTCAGCGGAGTGAGTTTATTTTTTCACTGACGTTTTAGACAGCCGAGCCAGCTGTCTTTTATCAAAGCGTAAACTGAATTTATGCATCAGCAATTTGAAGTTGTGGCTCTACGAGTCGCCTTTAGG